GTGTTTATCAACGACCTGGCAAGGGTCATCTCCTCAAATTTCCGGCTTTTCGCCGATGACGTCAAGATATGGCGGGCGATTAGTAACAAGCCAGATCAGGATCTGCTCCAACGTGACTTAGATTGCATTTACGAATGGTCAAAGAGGAACAAGCTTCAATTGAACATGGCTAAGTGCAAAGTGATGCATCTGCGTCACCAGCCGGCGAGCACTTACAAGATTGGAGACCACACCTTGGCGAAGGTTTCTCAGGAGCGTGACTTGGGTGTATTGGTGCAGGAAGATCTCGGGTGTCCAAAACAAGCAGAGAAGGCGACGAGAACCGGAAATCAACACTTCGGCCTTCTTCGCAGAGCCTTCGGACGGTTTGAACCCTCAATCTTTCCCCAGATGCTTAACGCCTACGTGCGACCTCACGTGGAATATGCTATTCAGGTGTGGCAGCCGTGGCAGAAACAGGATCTCGTTGCTCTCGAGACTCCTCAACGACGGGCAACTAAGTATGTCAGAGGCCTCTTTCATCTGCCCTATCAGCTTAGACTGAAATCTCTAAGAATGTACAGCAGTCGATATCGGCTTTTGCGGGGAAGATCTCATAATGGTTTACCAGATTCTGAAGAACCCAAACCACATTTGCCGTCCGCTGCTGGAATTGAACCACAACACTAAACTAAGAGGTCACCCTCTGAAACTGACAATTCATTATAGCCGGCTTGAATGCCGTAGAAATTTCTTTTCTCTCCGCGTGAGCCAGCCTTGGAACGCTCTCCATAATTATGTCGCCTCTGCTCTCAATCTGGCGATATTTAAAAAACGTGTTGACGATGCATTGTCTCACTTACATTTCATTTTATGACTTGTTAGCCAGAGGCTACAAAACGCAATCAAACGGTGTCTTGCCAAACGCCTACTCAATGGATTTATGGATTTATACGTTTAATACGCGAACATCTCCGCTATTCCACATAAGTCTATGGTGAGTCCACCACAACGCTTTTCACTTTATTATGCAGTTGATTTTCGCAATAATTTCCATCCCATGGGACTTGTTAAGCGATGCTTTTTTACCTGTAATAAACCATTGTTCCATTGTACCATTGTTCCATTTACATCCCTTGTTCTCATTTTTATTCAGTGAGTGAAGACAAGACGCAGACAAAAATTGTGATGAACAACCCATGAAATCGGGATGGACAGAATTACTTATGCGTTAACGTGGATAGTGTGGAGATTTCACAGATGTGTTTATCTCATTTTGTGTAACCTTATTGTACTAACTTATTCACAAAAACATTCCACGGGATTGTCAAACCTATGCCGTTTTCCGAATATTCTGATTGTTCTCTTGTTAAGCTCTTACGGGATTGCATCACGCAAATGCGCATTCTGACGGCGTCGCCGTGGCTAAAACGTTAGTAAATATACTTCATTTGATGTTGTGGCCCACCAAGGGAAAATTACATAAGTTTATATGGGAAGAATTGCTTGGCCAGTCTTTACTTTTTCCTAAATCTTTCGCATTTCACTGACGCTAAATGCGCCATTTCCGGAGATATTTGCAGGTTCTGACAGGGTTCCTCACACGTAAAGGCAGTCTAAGAATATAGTTTCAGCGGCATCCCTGTTTGTTGCATCAATGAGCGCCTGAAGGAAACCCGACGCGTTCTCTCTAAACTGAACCCGTCCAGTCGGCACATTGTGTAGGAGCGCAAGCGTTCATGAGACTGCGCGTAGGCTGTGTCACAGTTGTCTCTCTGCCCCATTTGTCGAGCCGCATGTGTAGTGGGACTCGACTGCAAACTACACCGTCCGAACTCACTATCCAAAGCACACGATAAACTGACTCCGATACGGCTATTGACTGAAAGGCAAACCACTAACGGAGGTCAGTGTGAGGGCAACGAGCGCTGACCACACCAGTATAGGGCAAGATTAGTCACAATGTACACACAGACAGCAGTCAGATTATGACTAGGCGAAGAGATGAATTTCTCATTTGCTTATCGGATCACTGACTGGGCGATGGATCACGAGCATATACAGCCGTCAACAAGTTACCCTTAATCCGAATCGTGTTACATGCCTGTTAATCAGCGAGTGCATATTTTTCGTCTGTTTGTTGAGTGCGTGTGAGAAAATTTGCTAAAAGTGGGAGCGTTTGCGACGCCAAAAAGACAGGTTTCCCTCGCAACACCACGACACAGCACCTTCTGTGCGGCCAAAGTCAACATTACCTACCGAAGCCACAAGTTGCCGATGCGTCCACTGAAAGAAACTTTGACTGTCGGGGTCAAATACTGTTGTGTATACCAATTCGTATGTAAGTGCGCAGTTAGTTACTTACGCAGTACCGATAGGTCATTGAGGTTCCGAATAAAGGGGCAATATTCAAACTGGATCCACTACGAGATGTCACAACAACTACGCCCAGTTCCGGCCAGCATATTCGATCGGCGAGCACTGCTTGATCTCAGATCACCGGATTAATGTCAGCTTGTCATTCAAAGATCCGCCGTTGGAAAATCAATTCTCGTCTCTTCCGTTTTGTGTTAAAAAGCACCTATCGGTCGGCCTCAGGTTGCCCGTGCGTAGTGACGTGATTTCCGCCTTAACTTTGTTTATTTGCATATTTGCACCACTTAACACTTATAATTATTTCCTGGTCACCTGATGACAATTCGAAATGCATTCATCTGCCGAGCTTCGTCTTCGCACTGTGTTTTGCACAGTGTTGTTTGGGAAGTTAATTTTTAACGTGAAAATAAGCAAACTAAATAGCTATGCTTGTGTATTTTAGGTTCCCTGTAATTGGTAACCGTATATTCCCCTTAATAAATATTGTCTTGCGCAAAAACTATTTGGGATAATTCCGAAAGACAGACGAAAGGTGTACCATATATTGGCTTGCCTGCAAAACAACCTTCTCCTGGTGCCAGTTGGGTGGTCCCGGATTTTATCGGTCCAGCAAATATTTCGGCGGCAGTGTTCCTTTACGTGTTAAGTTTTCGGCTGGCAAGTGTTCCCCCAATAAAATGTCACAGCTGTCCGTTTAACAACACTGAGACGTGGCGGATGTGACTCGCCACTAAAATTACAGTCACTGCCCCTGGTTTTACCTTGGTAAAGTATTGTATCCCAGCACCTTGCTGCTGACATCGTGGAAAGGTTTGGCCTCTGTTTGGTTACTCACCAAACGAAAAGCGTATGAACTGAGCACTTAGCCATCGGCTCCTAATGGGTGCGAATCCATGACTTCGCTCCGATGCCTAGCGGGTGAGCTATTGAGCCAAAGGCTCGGGGGGGGGGGGCGGTCCCCAAGACAACTCTCGAATTCGGCTTGGGCAACCGGGTAGTATCGTACCCACTGAGAAACCCATGGAATAAGAACTTACTACTATGTAGTTTACATCTGCTGCTACTTTTGCTGCGACCAGTGCCTCTCCATCACACGCCAACTTTTCTCTTGTTGATAATCTACAACCTGTTGAATCTACTTCAAACGTTCGTGTCGCTGATATCCAAATCATTTGGCTATCAACTATCCTTCGGCCCCGTAATTCCTTCCGTTTGGCAGCTTACAATGTTCGGACCCTCCTACAGATTGGACAACAGGCTGGCTTGGCGCGCATTCTAGAGTCCTTCGCTATCGACTTTTGTTGCTTTTCAGAGACTCGACTACAGGATGCCAGCACTGTGGTTTAGTTGTCGTCCCCAGCTGTTCTTGAGGCCACATATTACACACGTCAGTCTAGTGACGTGGAAGCGGCAGCAGCCGACTTGGTTGGCATCGGTATCGCATTGAGGAACAAAGCAGAGGCTGCATTACTCGATCCGTTTCCAATCGACAGCCGCCTGTATGCGGTTCAGCTTCAAGGCTCATGTAGACGCAACAATAGTGAAGAGAGGCGCAATTTGTTTGTCGTTTCTGCCTACGCGCAAACCGACTGCAGTTGTGTATCGGTTAAGGATGACTTTTATCGTGGTCTCCACAACCTATTGAACAAGGCCAAAAACGCAGATGAGACCGTCCTTGCCGGAGGACTCAATGAAAGAGTGGGTCGCCTGATTCCGCGCACTCTAAGGGGCCGGACTTCCGCACAATCCCTGGACTTTTTGATCGTCATAGAGCTATCCAAGACGATTCAAATAGTAGTGCATTGCGTCGCATTCTCAGCCAACAACTTAAACAAAAGCTGCGTGCGGATCGTGAAAGTTGGTGTTTCTAGCGCGCCTCAGATATGGAAACAGCAGCCCTCTCTGGAAACATCGGCAAGCTTTCCCAGGTCATTCGGGCCACTGGTCACAAAAGACCTGTTGTCAGTGAGGTCATTTGCGAGGTTGACGTAACGCGGATAATATACTTACACAGGAGTATGGACCGCTGGGCTGGACACTTCCGCACTCAAATCAGCTTTAATCCTCCATCGGTGAATCTAATGACAATACCTAGTTGCGCGTTTTGAAACGTCTCATGGGAACCACCCACTGAAGCTGAGGTCTGCTTGAGCCCAGACACTTGAAGCGACTCAACTCTGCTGGCCAATGCGGACTTCTTCCAGAGCTGTTCAAGTTCGTGGGCGAAGTAATTGTCAACCCGTTAAAAGGATGGTTCTGTAATATCTGGTGTGAAGAAACAGTTCCATCCGCTTTGCGCGAGTCAATTATCATCCCGGTCTTCAAGAAATGTGCCAGGACCCAGTGCGCCAACCACCGAGAAATAAGTCTAAAGTCCGTTGTCTCCAAGCTGTTTACATCCATTCTACTCCGCAGACTAACACCGATCCGAGAATTGTGCTCCAATGAAGAACATGCTAGTTTCCGTCCTGGTCTAGGGTGAATAGACCAGATGTTTACGCTACGCTCACACTTTTACAAGCGTCACATACACAGTCAGCTCAATATTGCTACTTTTTGTAAATCCGAGAAGCGTTCGAGACCGTCGATTGGCCAGCTTAATGGAGTTGTTAAAAAATAATGCAGCAAAATAAAAGTATATCGTCATCGAGCATTTTATTGCAATGTCTCAGGTAAAGAGAGGGCTTGTGGTAAGCTTTCTTCACGTTCTGCTGTCAATAGCGGTGTATGAGAGGGTTGCCCCATGTCCCCATTTCTCTTCAATTTCACGATCGAGGATGTCCTTGTAAACGCTCTCGAGGGCTTTCAGGGTTCTGGTGTAGAGCTTCTTCCCTGCAATCACGTGACCGATTTAGATTATGCTGATGATATTGTCTTACTTGGTGATGACGCACGGTGCACACAATCCGTTCTAAACCGCTTGGCGATTAAAGCATCAATATATGGGATGACCTTATCCCTTATGAAATGCGAAGTCCTGGTCCTGGATTGGCATCCACCTGCTCCAGTGCTCACACTTCAAGGTACGCAGCTTGAACAAGTGGACAACTTTGTTTACCTGGGAAGCTGTGTCACTGCTGATGATAGCATTGGAAAAGAGATTTCCCTCCGCATTGCCAAAGCCGGTTCGGCATTCGCCAACTTGTGGCATCTGTGGCGACGTCGCGACGTTTCACTATTGGTAAAGGGCAGTGTCTACAATGCCTGTATTCGCGCGGTGCTGCTGTATGGGAGTGAGTCCATGCCGATTCGTGTGAATGACTTGTGTCGGCCTTTGACAATGGATGTCTGCGGAGAATAGCTCAAGTGTGGTGGATGTACCATGTAAAAAAACGGTGATGTTAGACGTCGCGTCTTGGGTAACACGGGGCTTCCACTTCACAGATTGGTACCACTGCGCCAACTGGGGTGGATGCGCCATGTTTTACGCGTGCCATGCGAACGGTTGCCCCGATGAGCACTTCGATCGCACAGAACCAGTCTGGAAACAATCGCGCGTTGGTCAGCCTATCACGTGGCGACAAACGATTAAATCGATGACTTCCATTTTGGTTGCCGTAAGTTCCGTGAGTCTACTGGGCTGGGGGTTCAAAGAGGAAGGACACCGCTGGCTGGAAACGCTTTCGGAGATGGCATAGAACCGGGCTCAATGGAAAATGTGTACAAATCTTTCTCTTGGTTTGTTCTATTTACATCACAAACATTAAACAGACAGAAAAGATAAAACGGCGTGTGCAAAAAAGAAAAGACAAGATACAAAATACATTTTTGCAACTTTCATTCTTTTGTTGTGGTCGATGTATTTATTACTTCGGTTACCTGCTTTTCGCTGGTTCTATGTTTATCATATACACTGCTAATGATAATAATAATAATACTATATCATAGATTGTGAGGAAGAGTTGCGCAGCACTATTCCTCTCTGCGATAACTCCGATAAAAGAAGGGGAAATTCCACACCTAGATGTTAAGTAAAGATTCAACTGCATCAGAGGTGTTACCGAGTGCAACAACAGGGCTTGCCGCTCTGTTGGCCTGAATGTTCTATAGACATAGAATAAAAAGTGCCCCATTCGCGAATAATAGGGATGTCCCTGGAAAGCTAGCAAAGTTCATTGCCTTAATCTGCTCGATACACAGATGTTGTATGTCAGTGAAAAGGACTTTGTGGCCATTTTGTTTTTTCAACAATTTTGAAAGCGTAGTAAGGAGACGAAAGCTGGTAGATGAATGCATTTCCTATTGTCTTCTCAGGACAAATAACAGTAAGCGATATCCATAGATCTAGCTAACAATGAATGTCCCGAAACAGACTTGCAGTGCATGGTGAGTAAGGGAATTCCATTCCTACGTCCAGGACTTTCTAAGGCTGAACAACACTTGCACTGGACGCATAGGGCTTGGCTCATCCGGTTTATTGCTACAGCCTCAGTAAACGGAAGGAAACAGGGATTAAGGTGTATGAACATAATTTTGAACGCTGAGTCCAGTTCTATCCCGTGACACGAGACCGGTTGTTTGTCTAATGAGAAAGTTGGCACCTTACGTCGATATGCATTAACAAGTCTATTAGATATGAAATACATGAGTGAGATGGGTCAACTACAGTGAGGCGCTCTTAAATCACTAAGGCGTCATTGCAACATTAGTTCATTTCGTGCCATAGATGCTAGCAATTAATACAAACCGAAAGAAAACCAAATCAGCAGATTACCTGTTGCACAGTTTTGTTGATCTCAGTGTATCTTGGCCGGCCTCTGAGGCCTTCAAAGTTCCGTTTCACACAATTAAATATTGGCTTGGTGTGGTTCGTCCACCATTGAATGGAATCCTTCAGCTCATTTATTATTTGATTCAGCATTACATTCAATTTCGAAAACGGGGGTCTATTCAATGCTGGGTTCCTTCTGACGTACCAAATTGTAGAAACAGGAAAAGAATAAAATCAGATTTATCATTATTTGACAAATTCTTTATCTCGACGTGGTATACAATGAAAGCATTTCGCTGTCTACTACAATCAGTTGACCAAATGCCATCTCTCAGACCCGCATCTAATGGGTCAGTTTAGAAGGTACAAATCCAGGAGAGCCCTTAGCCAAAGCGTGTTATGTTTTGTAACTTATCCAGTTTCACCTTTGAATATCTCATGTGAGCCTTAGTTTGGAGACTTCTTCGATTCAACTAAAATCAGCATAACCTCTGTGTTTCAATGATGAATGTTCTGACCAGCAGATGCCACAGATAATTTTTCAAGTTCGTCCCAAACGTGTTAAGTGCTTGAAATTATCTGTCCAGAAATTCATTATGGTTTTGCACTTACTGCATGGTGCACACAATGCTGTTCACCTTACAGTAAAATATTAAAGATTATGCTTGTAAAGGTTTATATATTTTTACGATCATGTGTCTGAGCGCATTGCCATCAACTGCTTGCACTACCAGAAAGGCATATATCAACGTAAACCGGGGCCACAACTTAGATTGCATATCGCAGTGCAAGACACATGGTGTATGTCCAGAAGCCCGGCAAACAACTGCTAAACCCTGTGTCAAACACTTTTGCTCAAGCTCAGTGGCCTATGTACTGAAGCTAGTCGCCAAACATTAAGTGCAATGTTTCACTCCCCATCCGGCTAACTCAAACCGATTAGTTCAAATAAGAAGGAAAGGTGTCGTGGAGGGCGGCAATGATAGAAGTCGACGCCGAAAATCTCCACAAGTGCGCTGGGTACTTTACATTTAGAACATCTACAGAGAGATGAGCAGCCATCGGACCTGGATTTCTAGTTCGTAACATTCCATGGTACGATACGGGCGCGGCTGTACAAATATTTATGAGAAACGCGTTATCCAAGGCAATCTAACACTTACAATGCTGTAAAGATGCCTAGCATCAACTCGGAAGAAAGCACATCTAGTTGGTTGGCTTTGTCATCTAGCTCAAAACAGAAGCGCACATTAACTATGTATCACTTAACACAAAAATAATTTTTATCACAATTTTTGGAGATTTATTATGCTCAAGATTGTTTTGATCGCAGAAACGCTGGGTGGGATATCCCCAAGGGTGAAGTTTGTGTAGAATACTCTAAATGCATCAAATTGGGACCGATCCTGACTTTACCACAATGTGATTTTTCTCCAGTAGATACAAAATGTATGACCGTATAACAGAAAATCAAAGGTACTCGCGAGCTGGTAGTGTGTTAGTTCAGACTCATAATAGTATTTTGCCAAACTGAACAATGGAACAATGGATTTATGCGGGTATAAAAGCTAAAGCTTGACAAATCCCGTAGGGTCATCAGTGCGAAAATCATAGAAGTGTGAAAAATTCAATGGAAACCAATTCAGTAAAACCGTTTAACAACGAGTCACTACATGCTTGTGGACTCACCGAGTTTGAAGTGTCAAAATAATAATCCACTATAACTCCGGAGGGGATCATGAGATATGGAGTATTTGGTTAAAAGAGTCACCGCCCCTTGAAATTCGCATGGGGCAACGTGTTTGAGTTTGAAGCGTCAAAATATAAAGCCACTGTTGAAATAAGCGTGGGGGAAAATTATTTTTAATGTATGGATTTTGGATCTCTCAAAATTAGACTGTACTATGGGAGATAGTGTAATGAAGTGAGTGCACTATCAACTCGATTTTTGAACTCGATCAGGTTTGGTGCACTGACTACAGATTCTGGGAGAGCATTCCAGGCTTGGCAAACACGCACGGAAAAGAAATTCCGTCGACATTCCAAACGGCTGTACTGCACTGCCAGCTTCAGATGATGGCGTGTCAGGTTGTTGTTGTTGTTACTGAGCTCCAGCAGATGGCGGCAGGTATGATTGGGGTCTGTCAGAATCTGATAAGCCAAAATCAAATCTCCCCGTAGTCTTCGATATTGACCACTAAATATCCCGAGCGATCTCAGTCTGTCTTCGTAGCGTAACTGGCCTAAACCTTTCACGTGCTTCGTTGCGCGTCTTTGAGGTTTCTCTAAATCAGAGAGGTCTTTCCTCAGCCACGTCTGCCAGACTTGTATTGCATACTCCACGTGTGGTCGTATGTATGCACCTAGAAGTTGGTGAAAAACGGATGGATCGAAGCGTCCAAATGTGCGCCTGAGAAGGCCCAAATTTCGAATGCTCGCGTTCGATGCTTTCTTTGCCTGGGCTGAACAACCAAGGTCGGACTGAATCAAGACTCCTAAATCCTTTTCCTCAGCAGTTGTGTGAAGCACATGGTCACCAAGTTTATAGAAAAATGCTGATTGGTGACGTAAGTGTAATACTCTGCATTTTTCTGTGTTGAATGGGAGTTGGTTCTGAACTGACCACGCATACACCTTATCCAGATCCTCTTGAAGTATTGCGGAGTCGTCTTGTGTATTGATCGCTCTCCAGACCTTGATGTCGTCGGCATAGAGTAGGCAGTTGGAAAGAATGAGGGCCGCTATGTCGTCAATATACATCAAAAACAATCGTGGCCCCAGTACCGATCCTTGTGGCACACCACATTCGACTTGGATTGGGTGGGACAGGGACCCACGCAATTTTACCTCTAAGCTCCGGTGGAGAAGAAAGCTTGTGATCCATCCTAGGAGCGGATCACCAATGCCAACTCTCTGAAGTTTGCAAATCAGGATTCCATGGTGTAGTCGATCGAAGGCCTTTGAGAAATCTAGGTAGACCACGTCCACTCCTGCACCGCTGTCAATTAATTTGGTCCAACTTGATCTTGCTAGCATCAGATTTGTGGTGCACGATCGATTCCGTCGAAAACCATGCTGTTCATGTGCAAGGAAGGCAGACTCTTCTAGATAGGCTGTTAATACGTCAGCAACAATAGCTTCCATAACCTTCGACAGGACCGGGAGAAGGGTTACAGGACGGTAGTTGGCTGGATCAGAACGGCTACCGCCCTTATGAATTGGGGTTATGATCCCACATTTCCACATCTCGGGTACATACATCTGATCGAAGCAGCGTTGGAAGAATCGTGCCAGAGGCTCTGCTAAACTTTCTCCCATTACCGCAAGGGACTTAGGGTGAATGTTGTCGATTCCAGGAGAGCTGTGCTTACGCATACACAACAACTTCTTTAATACCATCCCCGCCGTGAAAGTTATGTGCGTAAGTTTTGGTTGTATAACAGCTGCTGACAAAGGAACAGATGACCAATGAATGCATTGAAAGTTCGAAGCATATTGCAGCCGCAAGGCGTTCGCCGCATCCTCCGTAGTCAGCGTCATGCTATCTGGCGTTTGAAGAGGAGGGATTCCTCGTTTCACCTTGCGCAGGTTGTTTACATGTTGGTAGAGCAGCTTATGATTCGAAACCATGCGCTCCGTCAGATGCTGCTGGT